TCAATATAGACCCTTCTAGGATAGTTCATTGACTCAATGAGCCATTGGATAAACCCAACAGCTACTACTTATAAGAGAGCATAGCTACAAAGCAAGTTGGGATAAAATGGCTGCAGGGGTAGTAACCACCTGTTGAAGGGCTGGGGGCATGTCAAACAGTGCAACCAATTAGAGTTGAGACTACTACAGGTAGTTCTTGGGTTATGACAGCAATTGGGACTGGAATTCCTACTGCTAAGCAACATGGCTATAAAGCATTGTGTCACATGACCATGCCGCTCAGCAGCAACAGTTCAGCAGTTCCATTTGCCATCATCAAGCAAGGGCCACATGGACCCTTGTTAGGATCTGTAGTGACCATGACTTATGACTTCCTGCTGGCTCCCCCATTGATTTTGCTTGGGGGAAGCTGATAGGGAACATCAGAAATTATGTTAAATGTGACCATGGGGATGCTGCAACAGCCAGAACTCTGAGGGCTGCTTTGTAACTACTACTCATTTAATGCTGTCATAACTTTGAACAATCTCTGAATGAATGGTTGAGTTCTGAAGGGCTCAAGACAACTCATGTTGGAAAACAATTTTGAATTGAAGCTGGAAATCATAGGCAAAGGTCTATTTACAATGTGTTGTGGGGTGAAAGGAAGATAATGTAATCTGTTTCTGCACTGGTAATAGGCCAAGCAGAAAGTGGGGATCTGATCTTAGTCAGAGGACAGGTTGTTCTTTATTTCTAACTGCTGTTTGTTTCAGTAATACTTCTCAACAGATCCGTTTCATATAGTCAATAAAAATACAGCATTGGGCTCACACAGAATAGGAGTGAAACCAACATCTTTATTTTGTTGCTTGAACTCTAATTTTGAACCCAGCTCCAGTACTGGAAATGAACCAAGCAGAGCAAAAAAAAAAACAAAGAAGAAGACGACAGAAGGGGGAGAAGGGCTTTATTCCTATTCTGCCCTCACATTCCTTTCAATAATAAATGTCTACTTTATAGCCAGAATGGTAACCATATGTGCAATAAACATGCACATGTCTGGCTTAGGCGTTGCAATCCAATCCAATAACCTTGTGGAATAAATAACATAGATTCAGACAGCCTGGGGCAAGCACAGACTGAAGAACAAATTCTACAGCAGCCTTCAATAAAGTTGTGGAAGATAATGGATAGTCATTACTGTCCTTCAAATGAGACTAACCCTTGTATATTTGAGATCATGTCATCCAAAAACATGCAGTTTCCTACTGACTATCTGTGAAATAAGGATAACATAAAAGTAAAAATCCAACATGGATATTAATATATGCTTGAAAGAAATTCTTGCAATATGATACAATTTCTTGCAAATAAAGTGAACTGTCTACCCAAGCAATAAAGCTTTATCCTAACAAAATTAATAACAAAATTAAATGTTTCCATAAGTAATTATCCATTTTGAGTACAATATATGATTTTTGTAAAGTAAGAGTGTAACTGTATGGGAACTTATGATGACCTTGTGAAATGAAACAAATGGTTAAAAAGTTATATTTATGTAGTTACTTACCAAGCGCATCTAAATTATATTAAAGTAACCACCAAAATATCTTTACAATCCCAAGGCATGTCACAACTTTTGACTACCCCTAATGTTTGGATATTGAAAGTTGAAAAATTTGACAAGCCCTGTAAGTAACCAAAAGTGCTTTTTCTCCATTTTGCTTGGAAACTATGTTCAGTATACTTTTGATTATAAGCAATAGTTGCAAAATCAACTTGTTCATGATTTGATTTGCATAAAATAAAGTGAATGCTAAATACATTTTTCCTATCAGGAATTTTTTAAAATAAGAAAGTGAAGAGAGGTTTCCCCCTCCCCTATTTATTCTTAAATATTGGACTTACAGAGACCCCTAGTGGTTTTGCAAGCAAAACTGAAATTTACAAATTAGGAACATTTTGCTATGCTTGTTCTCTATTCATTTGAGCAATTGCTTTTTTATTAATGACATAGGAAGCTAATTATTTCAGAATGCAATTATTAGGCTTCAGTTCTAGTATTCCCTATTGAAAATAAGGCTTATTGAAAGTGGGATTTATATTTAAGTAACTACATATAGGGTCAATTTATATCCATTTGCATGTAAAATAACGGAACAAATAATTTCTTATAAAGACAATATAAAAGTATATATTGAATTGTTTCACAAAGCATACTAAACTGTCCTTTGTTTACTTCATAATATAAGCCTACCTGAAAATTACTTCATAATGCAAGC